GTTCGACTATGTTGTCACTCCATGAATACCAACATTTTTAAATCTGATACCATTTATTTTTCTACGGAGTGGTAATTCTGATAGGAGGTAAACATTTTTAAGGTTATATTGAGATGTAAAGGACATGAGGATACACCTACAACTAAGAAGAAAAGTGAGGAGATATATTAGAACCATGGAAGGTATTTAGTACTTTTTTATTATTTGATTACTCAGGTAGCAAAATAATGTCTAAAGATGTCTAAAGACATTTTAATGAAGTATTATTGACGTCTTTAGACGCCAATAGATTTTTAATTGCATTATAAAATATAACATTTATATTGCAGGATGTAAAAATATATGTGTATTAACATTTTTAGACATTAAATAAATATAAAGCTTAGCATGAGAATGGTTAGCAAATTATTTATTGTATTATATGATACATTTATTTTAATAACAAATAACCTAGGCTTGCTGCCTGGGTATAATATAATAAAATAAATAAAACCAATATAATAATCAGTGTACATTGTTTATTCCTGGTCAAATATTTCCCTCAATAATTACATCCTTCGATCTATTTGATGTCCAAAATTAATATTTCCATTACATTATCATAAATATTATCATTCAGTTCCTCCATTTCGACATCATCATAATCGACATTATCATCGTCATAATTCAAACATAAATTATGTAAGATACATGCAGCTACAATTGTATTTGTAATAAACGACATTTCACGGTATTCCGAAAAAAAATTTATTCGTCGAAAACGTCCTTTCAGATAACCAAATGCTTTTTCTACAGCCATACGCGTTGAAGAAAGTATGAAATTAAATTCGGTCTGAAGAGGAGTAAGATGACCGTTATCACGAAAAGGAGGAACAAGCCATTGTAAAGACGGATATGCAGAGTCTCCTATTATAAATTTTTCATCTGGAAAAATTACTTCTCTATGTTCATTAACTGAATTGTATAATGCAGATTTTCTCAAGACTCGTGCATCATGGAGAGAACCTGGCTGACCACAGTATATGTTAATGAATTTCATATCCGCATCTACAACAGCTTGTAGGCTTACAGAAAAGTATTTTTTCCGGTTACAATAATCTCTTGCATTCTCCACATTAGGTTTCTCTATTTTAATTTGAGTGCAGTCAATAGCCCCCATTATATTTGGAATGCCTCTTTTAGCATAAAACTGATGACAAACATATGCGACGTGTTGTCCTTCGGGCCATTTAATAACGTCGTCTAATTTTATCAATATCCAAGCTGTCACTCGGCGAATTACTCGAAAGACAGATGAAATTGAAACGTCAAATCTATCTGATATTGTTCGTAGAGGTTCTGTATTTGCCAAGTGCCACAAAAATATAAGAAAGCTGAGTTTCGCTTCAATTGGTCTCACTCCAAACGAATGAGAAGGAATAAATCCACTTTCATGCAATTCATCTAGAATATATAAAGAATTATACGTTTAAATATTATAAAATCATGTTTAAAAATATAAATTATTTGATATTTAAAATGAATATTACCTATTAATCGAATTGCTAAATTACGCTTAATTCGCAAGTGCTCTTTAAATTCTAAATCTGTCCAACTATCCACAACATGAAGATAATCTTCAACTCGATGTCTTTTACACCCACTGATTAAATATTTCATTAAAGGAAACAATAATAAATAACCATCGTTTTCTTCACTACTGAAAGATGTATCATCAATTGAAAGACTACTATTGTTCCAGTCTATTTCACTGTTGCTTGAGTCTTCTGCGCTTGCACTGGTGTTTATCATACTCTCCAGTACAAGATTAATAACTATCTTTTCCTTCCCATTCATCTATATTAAAATTACTTAATTAATTAATAAAACTATTAATTTTTTTAATAATATAAAATTAAATAAAGTGAAAAGATAAAATAAAACATGTTATATTTAATTAATATTAAAAATAGTATTATAAAAAATATATTTATTTAATTGATTACTTTTCCATAATAATTTAATGTACATAATTTAATAAGATTTTTTTAATCATTCTCTTCTATATATTTGATAAATAAGCTAATTTATAAGAAAATTTTGTTAAAAAACACTAACCTTTATATAACTTATAAGAAAGTATCTTGTAACGATTTAGATTATTATTTTAAATTATTGACATATGTCTGTTTGCATTGCAAACTAGTAACAAGATATATAAAGTAACTGCCCTGCACTCTAACGGTGAAAGAAAAAAGCTAAGCAGCGTTCCAGCCACGGTCTTGAATACAGGTCGGGAAACTCCTATGGAGGGGGTGACCCGCTTAGTGAAGGCATTTTTAGTTGACACTATCACCACTTGGAGCGCTGTAAGTTAAGAGTGCTATCTCGCTGCGCTAACTTCGTGAGCGGCTGTCATTGCGGAGTTAATGATAATTTATATAGAAGGTTATCGCAATTTGGTCATTGCAAACTTGGGTTTACCCAGCGAAATACAGTGTAACAAGCGCACAAAGTCGTAGTGAATTAACAATGACAAAGTATTGTGTCGTGCCGAAATGCAAGACTGGATGCAAAAGTGTCGCAGTGAAGTGTTCAGTTTTTAAAGTGCCAAAATGCGACGAATTGCGTAAAAAATGGATATCTGCAATCCCTGGCATAAAGGACCTGAAACCCAACCAATGCGTATGTGAAAAACATTTTGATAAAGCAAGTATAATAAGGGAGCTCGTAATGCGCGATGCACAAGGAAACGTGGTAACCGAGGTAAGCTCAGTTATGAAAAAAAATATTCTGTCGCGTCAAAAGAAATTTTAATAATATATCTATGTATTGACACTATAATTCAAGACTTATGTGACTAGTAATCTTATCCTGAGGTTTAAAGAAATTTAAAAAAGATAATTAAGAGCTAGATATAGTAGTCTCAGTGTATCTCGATTTCCAGACTTTAAAAATCAGATACCCAATTTGTATAAGTTGATTTTATGTAATTTGTTCAGGCTAAGTACCTGCGAACTCGTTTATTTAAATCTGCTGTGCCCACGATTTTCTATGAGTTTTCCTCGACTACGTTAGTTTCCAAGGACGAGGATTTGCAGGAAGAAAAGTTGGGTGTAGATGCTGCGAGTAATGGATCGCTTAACTCAGACGTGCATTGTACACTATCAAAATCCATCGAAATCACATTGCCTATTCCACAGTCTGTTGATGTGACAAGTAAATATTATCATGCTTTATTGTATTCCACGAATTCAAATAGCAATCCAGCAATTGATTCCTACTGTATGCAGCCATTCCATGATGCTATTTTCGTAATAGCTATTATATTATACACTCTGTTACAGCCGATGATATTGACGAGTTTTTGCTCTCTGAAAGCACGAATGTCAATACAGAGAATTTGAGTGCAATTGATTGCCAGCAAAGCAAAAAAGAAACAAATGATTTCACTGATTGTGAGAGAATATCGGACTCGGTTGACCTAAAGCTCATGAAAAGTATCAGCATGGCGTGTAAGTGTTGCTATTATTGTATCTACATTAACTATATATAAAAATGAACAAATATAGTATTGGTACGAACGTTTGCAGGGATTATAAGATTTAAGGTCTGATAATACGAATAATATCATTACATATATATTTTATATGTTTTAGCGTACAAAGATTCGTTAATCACAATACCAAAGTCGTGGAGTTTCACCGAGTCGTACAGAGGAACAAAACGGTATTTGATATTCTCACACGTATGGTTGATGACCAATAATGACACAGATGGTCCTATTATAGACAAAAGTGTCATAATCGACGACGTAGACGGCACAATTGATTACAAGATTTTTGGAAAATCGGTCGACATTCAAGAAATTAAGATCTTGCAAAATATGAACGATGTAACGTCGCTACATGCCGTTTTGTCGAAATTCGAAAGCATGCCAGTTTGTCAAGGAGTTGGTCCAGTTGAAGAATGTCTTATTCAACGAGACATCGCGTATCGAACTTCTTGCAATGTTTGGCATCATACCGATTGTGAATTAACCACCAAAACGAAAAGGTGCAAACGTTGCACAATATTGAAAAACACGTTGCTGCAAAAAAAGGCACGTTTTAAAAAGCGTGATCAAGTAAAAAGAGTCGTGGGAACCACAAATCCAATTGATCTTAAGAAAATAAATGCCTTGAGAAAAAAATTGAGCGTAACGCGTCGAATGAAAAATCGATCAAAAATTCGAATCGCCTTGTTGCAAGATCAGTTTATCTCTAAGCAAAACGAGCTGGCAAATATTCAGGACGAAACATTGGAGAAAAAATATGTTTCCTTGAATATACCAAAAACAATGCAAAATACGTTGATGGAAATAATAACTTCAGCAAAACACATGCCTCACATCTCCTGTCATATACACTCCAATATTACATTCGAATGAGAATGAGACAGTTTACATTTCAAGAAAATGAAAAGAAGAAAAAAGTATTTGTACAGAAAAAAAAATTATCAAAACTTACAAATCGATGAACTATTTCGATAAGTTTATAACATTGCATGATAAATAAATGTAATTATAATTGTTAACATTTACTCTGTGAATAAAAAGCGGAAATGGATTGCTATTTCAAAAAGTAATCACATCTTTCATTAATTCACATTTATTACCTCTGCATTTACCTCAATATGATAAATAAACATTATTTCTATGTACAACGGGAGTGATTTATTATTTTATTTCACTTTACGAATATCGCGGGATAGTACTATTACTACTATGTTTACGCGAGCGTTACTTCTGTAGTAACTTATTCGAATTATCGCAACTTACGATAATTCACTCCGCGTAAACGGGGATTTATTGAATAGAATCCCGTTTATGCAGAGTAAATTATCATAAGTTACAATAATTTAAGTAAGATACTACAAAAGTAACGCTCGCGTAAACATAATATATGTCTTTTACATAATTACAATACGTAATAATTAAATAACACATTTTCTTACTTTTCGTAAAATATTTGTTAAAAATACATTAACCGGAATCGAACTAAAAACGGTAAGAGTGCAAGGATCTCATGCTACCACTCATTCACATTTTTCAGCTAACAAGATACATATACTTTTTTCATTTTACATTTATTACAACGCGCATGCGTGACAAAAAGTTCTTGCAACGCAGCGGCGTGCGCGGTTAGAAGGCGAACCAAAAATATCGCCACTAAGCGAGTCACCCCCACCACCAAAAAAAGGTAGGAGTTTCCCGACCTGTATTCAAGACCGTGGTTCCAGCTACAAGTCGACACTGTGTAACCAGAGAGAAGAATGAGAGCGGCCACCGGCCGCATTTCGGGGGATACGGCTAGACGCATTTTAGAGACGCCATCTGACCAAAATGCGCCTAAACTACGTCCGCTAGGCGCACTTTCACGGTGATAAAAGTAAAATGCGCCTAGGTGCGTGTCCGTACTACTTCCATGCAATGGATAGTAGATTAGAAAAAGACAGACGACAGACAATCGTTCCGTCTTTGTCTCACTACTGAGCGGCGCGCGGCAGTAAACACGAGGCGAGGTAGCGGCGATCTTATCGCTAAGCGAACATCTCTCCGCTTTTCTTTCATCTTTCACGCTCCAGAGACATCAAGAGACGCGGTAGCGTCTCGTGTCAAGGGAACGTGCGAAGCGAGGAATTATTTTTCATGCACGCAAGGTAGCACATGGGAGACTAGACGAGCGTCGACATATTATCTGTTTCTTTTCCGCTCGTCTAGCTTATTGACTGCGTGAGCCGCGAGATTTTTCTCGCTACTCCTATACCTCACTCTTTCTCTCTCTCTCTCGCTCGTTCTTTCTCTCTCTCGCGCACTTGCTCGCTCTTCCTCTCTTCTCGTGTTCTTACGGCTTGGTTAATATTAATTACATGACAATATATATATATAAATAAATGACACATATATAGTGTATATGTATATAAAGAATATTTAGTATTAATGCACAAATAAAGAAGAGAGAATTATAATGAGAGACGAAAAGTTAATAGAAATCCACTCTTAGCCAATATATACATCTTTTAAAAATGATTTGTTATTAAAGTATATGACAGAATAATTTATTTATGCTAATAAATTTAAATTAAAAATTAAATGAAATGTTATTTGTTTTGTAAAAGATATTCCATTGTTACATTTTTCTTTTCGTAGCAAAAATAAATTTAGTCTAGTAAAAGAAGAAATTAGTTTTATTATCATATTTCAATTACGACTTTATTATTTAATTTTACGAATAGATAACGTGCATATTGTTGCTCAACGGAAACCGCGAGAAAATGGTGATCTCCGTCAAAAAATAAATGCAAACTTTTTAATAATATAATAATTTTTTTACGTAAGTGTTTGTTTTTATAGTATAACCTGTTGAATTTTATTAATTATTAATTCAGCATGTTATAGTACAAAAAATATATTTTAATATAAAAATTAATGTAATATTAACTGTTTACATTTGCAAGAAATATGGATAGAACAGGATAGGTTGCAATGATACATAGGAAGAAAAAAGATAGATGGATAAATAGATAGATAGATAGATATAGAGATAGATATAGGTGGATAAATAGATAGACAGATAGATAAATAGATAGATGGATAGATAGATATAGAGAAATAGATAGATAGATAGTTAGATAGTATAGAAAAAAAGATAAATAGAAATATAATTATCATTATTATTATTATTAATGTTTTCAGTTTCAAGAGAACATTCGCTTAAACGTAAGTCTTACTTAGGTCCAGTTACGAGTGTTAACACTCGTAAAGTCAGCCGAGTTTTAAACATCTCGTAGAAACAAGTGCTTCAACTCATCAATATAAATGTAGAGGAAAGTAACCGAAACAGCCAAAAACCTCCTACAGAAAGGAAGAGATTTGAGCATAAATTCATATTCAGTAGTTTCGAGACATTAAGTCAATTAGACATTCCATGTTAATGTAAGTTGCATATTAAATAATAATCATTCATTGTTAATCTCTTTTCTGCTTCGCATTTATTTTCGAGCTTTTTGCATTATGTTTCAAATCAGCATGTTAATCTTTGACTTGCGAAAGGAATTGTTCAATTAACAATTGAAACTTAGAGAATGTAATGAAAGGCCATATATCATTGATAATTGATATGAGCAATTTCAATCGGTTCAATCGAAGAGCGTTCCGTTGTGTAGGTTACAATTGGTTATATAGATAATATTTATAATCGTAACATCGTGAAAGATGCCGATGATTGAAAAACGCTAAGATTTAGTTTCATAATTTATTTTAACCGGAGTTTAAGACTTATTGAGACAAACTTGCATAGTCATATTATTCATATGCATAACTGAAGTAGAACAAATAATTATATAAAAGTGAAGATGATGTCAAACTTAAGTTAAAATAATTTTGACGTTATCTTGACCTTTGATGATTATTTGTTCTAGAGAAAGAAACAGATTAATTAAATGTAAAATATGTCTAATATAAAAGGCACGCTTGTACGGATTATGATTGGTTGATTTCCTTGTGCACATCAATGATGCGATTATGTAATTTTGTTGAGATAGGCTTTTAAAGAGTTGTCTTATTGAACCCGACAAAAGATACGTATATTTCGTTAATTTTTTTTGCGGAAGCGAAAAAGATCACATGATTAAAAGATTACGGGTTTTGAGAGTTTGCTTAATGATGTTTGAAGAATATATATACATTTTTCTACAAGTATGTAAGTTTAAAAATATATAAAATATTGCAGTAAAAGCAAAGAGGTTGCAAATAGACGATTCCAAGGAATTTCTAAATGTGTGTGATTTAATTTTACACAATTATTTAAAGTAGCTTTTTATTTTCTATAAGTATAGCTATCGTCTGAACTACAATCGGAACACAAATAATAACATGGTAGCATTTAGAACAAAAATCGTCTATTTCTGGCCTCTCGGTAAAGTTTAATAAAAAATATTAATTATTAATGAATTTGGTTAATTGTAGTTAAAACGGTAAAGAGAAGTCTATTTTATAATGCTGCCAAGTTGCAAGTCGATTGGTCAAATAGTTATTGAGATATCGTGCGTACCGTGGAACCTCCTTGCTTTCACTGCAATATTTTTCATATTTTTAATCTTATATGTAGAAATTTATATACATTCTTTACAAACATCACATTAAACAAACCCTCAAAACAAAAATCCTGTACTCTTAAAGAAACAGGATATTAATCTAAAAAATAGAAACGATCAGAAATAACCGCTCGGTACTTCTAATATTAACGAATTATATTCCGGTTAAAATAATATAAATCGTATAATATATTCCGGTTAATGTAATATAAGTCGTATAATATATTCCGGTTAATATAATATAAGTCGTGAAACTGGACCTAAGTAAGACTTACGTTTAAGCGAATGTTCTCTTGAAACTGAAAACATTAATAATAATAATAATGATAATTATATTTCTATTTATCTTTTTTTCTATACTATCTAACTATCTATCTATCTATTTCTCTATATCTATCTATCCATCTATCTATTTATCTATCTGTCTATCTATTTATCCACCTATATCTATCTCTATATCTATCTATCTATCTATTTATCCATCTATCTTTTTTCTTCCTATGTATCATTGCAACCTATCCTGTTCTATCCATATTTCTTGCAAATGTAAACAGTTAATATTACATTAATTTTTATATTAAAATATATTTTTTGTACTATAACATGCTGAATTAATAATTAATAAAATTCAACAGGTTATACTATAAAAACAAACACTTACGTAAAAAAATTATTATATTATTAAAAAGTTTGCATTTATTTTTTGACGGAGATCACCATTTTCTCGCGGTTTCCGTTGAGCAACAATATGCACGTTATCTATTCGTAAAATTAAATAATAAAGTCGTAATTGAAATATGATAATAAAACTAATTTCTTCTTTTACTAGACTAAATTTATTTTTGCTACGAAAAGAAAAATGTAACAATGGAATATCTTTTACAAAACAAATAACATTTCATTTAATTTTTAATTTAAATTTATTAGCATAAATAAATTATTCTGTCATATACTTTAATAACAAATCATTTTTAAAAGATGTATATATTGGCTAAGAGTGGATTTCTATTAACTTTTCGTCTCTCATTATAATTCTCTCTTCTTTATTTGTGCATTAATACTAAATATTCTTTATATACATATACACTATATATGTGTCATTTATTTATATATATATATTGTCATGTAATTAATATTAACCAAGCCGTAAGAACACGAGAAGAGAGGAAGAGCGAGCAAGTGCGCGAGAGAGAGAAAGAACGAGCGAGAGAGAGAGAGAAAGAGTGAGGTATAGGAGTAGCGAGAAAAATCTCGCGGCTCACGCAGTCAATAAGCTAGACGAGCGGAAAAGAAACAGATAATATGTCGACGCTCGTCTAGTCTCCCATGTGCTACCTTGCGTGCATGAAAAATAATTCCTCGCTTCGCACGTTCCCTTGACACGAGACGCTACCGCGTCTCTTGATGTCTCTGGAGCGTGAAAGATGAAAGAAAAGCGGAGAGATGTTCGCTTAGCGATAAGATCGCCGCTACCTCGCCTCGTGTTTACTGCCGCGCGCCGCTCAGTAGTGAGACAAAGACGGAACGATTGTCTGTCGTCTGTCTTTTTCTAATCTACTATCCATTGCATGGAAGTAGTACGGACACGCACCTAGGCGCATTTTACTTTTATCACCGTGAAAGTGCGCCTAGCGGACGTAGTTTAGGCGCATTTTGGTCAGATGGCGTCTCTAAAATGCGTCTAGCCGTATCCCCCGAAATGCGGCCGGTGGCCGCTCTCATTCTTCTCTCTGGTGTAACACTGTGTCACACAGTGTATGACTGTGTTCCGTTGCTGGAAAACACCCATCATTTCTGCTATCGTATGCGATATCGCATGCGATATCTAGGGTCCTCGTTTCAGGAATAGACCCCCTTATTCTTACAGCCATTGTAGATGGGCCTTTACAGCTATTGTAGACGAGCCTTTATATTACAAGCTTGTCGGACGTTCCGATTAGCCGAGTTTCTATGACTTCCAATTTTTTCTCTCATCGCTTTAGAAATTCTTTATTTTACAGCCAATTGGAACGTCCGACGAGTTTATCGTACGATGCATATAATATTAGCCTGAAGCTCATTGGTTGGGGCACTATCTTTTCCTGTAAAACGAAAAGCGCGTTACAAATGGTATATGAATGGAACCTTGAGGTTTCGATTGATTACACGTAACAAAACGGCAGGAGAATGGCGTATGGGTACACCCATAGACATAGTAAGAATAGACTGCGTGTGAGGGCCAAAACTTGAAGATCAAGTAGAAAGAGACGGACAATAGGTGCCGATTATCTTTCTCTCTCACACAAGGAAAGGAGTGGGGAAAGAGTGGGGAGCGAAAAAGAGTAGTGAAACAGCTGTATGCGGTTGAAAAGAGGTGTGTAGTCGGTTCCCAGTTTATTTGCTGCACGATTCAGGAGATGCTCTGCTTTATTTATTTAAAGTTAGTATCAACGTATTGTTACGCGCTTAATTTCCCTGCGATCACACGCGCATGTCGGACGTAGCAGGATTAAGGGTAGCGTGAAGGTTAGAATCACATTGGAAGATCTTCTCTAACTGCTCTGTCCGCGTTTCTCTGCAGCTTTATTTCTTTACTTTCCTTCTAATGCCTCGGACATTCGTTTCGCATTTTCATTTAAGAAAAACTGATTATTCTGTCAGTGTTGTGTCAGTGCTGGTGTGTTGCTAAAAGTTTTTGTTGACTACAGTTAATCGAATCCATCGACGCACCATAGCATATACATATTCACGGAGAAAACAAGGAATAAAATAATTTAAAAAATAGTTACTGCGTGCTGTATTGTGGTGTGGAAGAAAACTCTCTTTATCCACGATCATTTCATAAGTAATTTAAAAAATATATTTGTATTCAATATGAATGTAAACATATCGTAATTAATAATATATATACACATATATATAAGTGAAATATATATGTAAAAAATTTACAGAATCCCAAAAAATGAAGAAATGCGAAAAAATTGTTTCACGTTATTGGCCGTGATGTATCTTACAAAGGAGTAAAAATATGCAGTGACCACTTTACAAAAAATGACTATCATGAAATGAATGAATATAAACAAAATAAAATATTGAGAAAGACTGCAGTTCCATTAATTTTCGTGGAAGAAAATTGGTGAGAATGTTAAATTATAAATAAGAATATACATGTAATAATCTTACAGGAAGATGCAATAGATCCATTACATTGAAATATTTTATTTTGTAGTAAACATGTGGAGAAGGATACAGATACCAATTTAAGCACAGATATAAATACAAATACAGCAGAAAATAATGACATAGACAATGAAAGAAATAGGTAAGAAACACTAAAGATACACTAAGATATACACCAAAAGGGAAAATAAAGTTATCGTAATATATAAGATAAAACATTAATGTATGTGAATATTTTTTGTTTTATAGTCAAAATACGAGTAAGAATTCCATTACGGACACAGATACAGATATACGTACACATGTAGCAGAAGATGTTAATAACATAAATATCCATAGCAACCACAGTAATAATCACAGTAGAAAAAAGTGAGATATCTAAAGATTTAAATAATTTTTCCTATCGAGTATTATTTCAATAAATTATAAATTATCAAAATTTTATTTTCAGGAAATTATAGCAAGAGAATTTTAGAAACTCAAAAATTAAAAAAATATTTGTAAACACTTCTAAACATGCTACAAAATGCTTCCGTAAAACAGATTTTGTGTCTGATGCAAAATGGGAGCAGTTTGTAAGATATGTGTCATATATTCGAAATGAAACAAAAAGTATGTGGCAAAAGAAAAACCTTATGCAGAAGAAAGTTTTAACTTATAAAGATTTGCTTCAGGACCTGAAAAGTAAAAACTTTATAACAAATAATGGTATAGATGCAGTCAAAGTAAGTTGAGTTTAGCTATTTTCCATTCGCAGAAAGATTTGAAATTCACATTGTCCACAATGTTTATTCTTTTATAAAAAAGTTCATGATAACTCTCCAATCACAATGTGACTTCATCATAATATTGACTCTTATAGAAAGGTCCATGCTAATGAAGCAAATGATAGAACAATACTTGATTTCTACATCATGTTAAAAATATGATATAACAAATGTTGTGCGTATACATATACCCTCTCAATCTACAAATCTACAAATGCACTAATGATGTTATATCTTCGTTCTAAATAAGTTATTATGTATATGTCTATGCGTACAACCATTTGTCTCCTTGATTTCTTCTGTTATTACATCTATATTTTGTACTTCCTTTTTCTTTATTTAGGATATATTGTCACCTGTTATGCAACAGTTGCTACTTACAATGTTAAATAAGAAGCGAAAAAAGTCGTTCCCCGAAAGTTTAAAAAGTTTTGCATGCACGTTACATTTTCATTCGCCTGCAGCATATTTGTATGTAAGAAAAATGTTTTTAAAAAGTTTACCTCACCGCAGTACACTGCGCATGTGGACGCAGACAATTCGTAGCAATTTCGGTATATCTGAACAATCGTTTAAAACTAAACTCGATAAGGTGCAAAATGCTAGAGAGAAAGGAAAACACTTAGTTTTCAATATAACTTTTGATGAAATGAATATTAAGAAAAAAGTTGATTGGGACGGCAAAGAATTACACGATTTTATTGAAACGGGTATTAAAGATAGTAAGTCTGATAGTCTGCCACTTGCTACCCATATCCTTCTTTTTATGTTAGTGTGCATAAATGATCATTTTAAAATCCCAATTGCATTTTATGTTATCGAGGCATTAAATGATAAGGAAAAAGCAAATTTGTTAAATAACATTTTAAGTATTCTCCATGAAAAAGCAATTTACGTTGTTAGTATTACATTTGATGGAGCAACTTCTAATATTGCAATATGCGAGATACTAGGCGCACAGTTAAAACACGTCAATTTTGAACATATTGTTCCATATTTTAAGTATCCTATTGACAAATCTAAAAATATTTATATTTTTTATGATGCATGTCACATGTTGAAGCTTGTGAGGAATGCAATTAGTAAAGGGGTTATTAAAGATAAAGACAAAAATGTAATAAGTTGGAACTTTCTGAAAGAATTAGTAAATGTGCAAACTGTGGAAAAATTACATGTTGCCAATAAAATGCGAAAAAGGCATACACAGTTTTTTAATGAAAAGATGAAAGTTAATCTAGCAGCACAAACATTAAGTAATTCTGTGGCTGATGCATTGACGTTTTTAGAATATGAATTAAAAGAACCAAGATTTATAGGAGCTTCAACTACTGCAACATTTTGTAAAACTTTCAATGACATATTTGATATCTTAAATTCACGTAACATATACAATAAAACTGAAAATAAACATGCAATAACAAGAAATACATTATGTACTATTAAAGATAAAGCTAAAACTTTTATGCATTACATTGCTTCCTTAACAATAAATGATGTTCCCGTATTACAAAGCATCCTCAAAACAGGTTTCATTGGATTTATAATTAATTTGCAGAACGTTATTGCATTAGCAGAAGAATTATTTAATGTAAATGCAATAAACTTTCTTCTTACTTATAAATTATCACAGGACCATATCGAAACTTTTTTTTCATTGATTAGAAGAATGCATGGTTGGAATAATAATCCTAGCGTAAAGCAATTTAAGGTGTCATATAGAAAGATATTGCATTTAGCGAATGTGTCAGTCTCATTGAATGCTAATTGCATTCCACAAGATGATACTGTATTGCTAACACTTTCACATGAATCTACGAATGATATACAGACAATTAACGAACATGTAGAACAAAACAAAGATACTATTTTAGAAGAAAGATCTTTAGAAGACGAACCTTCAGATCTTATCTTTATTGAACATAATTATGTATTACATGATAAAAAAGTTAATGAATATGCTGAAGAAATCATTGCTTACATATCAGGATATGTTGCTAAAACTATTATGAAAAGAATTAATTGTTCAGAATGCAAGCAATTACTTTCAAATAATACATATAAACAGTTGAATATAGAGCGTACCAGTAAACTTATACAGATAAAGGATCGAGGCAACCTATGTGAAGCATCAAATGATGTGATTACGATATGTAAGATAGCATATAAAATAGTACGATGTAATCAACATAGACTATTTACAAATAAAAATATTCTTGCACATCTCATATGTGAGGCTGTACGCTCCATTCCTGTGCATATATTTGACTATAATAATCATATATTCGATCAAAGTCCACTTTTTGATCACCGAAACCAAATAATTAAATTAATTTTGAAAACATTTTTTAATTTAATTTTAAAACATGAAAGTACATCATTCGCAGATTCGATACAACGAGTTCGGATGAAAAATAATAAAATAACCTTGTTCAAAAATCAATAAATAAACAACAACTTATATAAAAATATATATATATTTTTTTAATAAAGATTATATTACTTTGTAATATTGATATTTTTATTACAACTTTTCCACACATATTCATGTATAAAATATTTAATCGTTTCAACATAAATGTTTACACGTAGTTTATAATAGTTGAAACACATTTATCTCTAAATTTTAAACGGTTTTATTTAACATTACACAACTTTTCTTAACCTAACATCATGTATATAACACGTTATATATTACTACGCATCACTGTGCATGCGTGAGCAGAGAAAGAAAGATACTCGGCACTTGCTTTCTGTCTCTTTCTACCTGATCTTCAGTCCTCACAAGAGTACACGCGCAGTCTATTCTTACTATGTCTATGGGTACACCTTTCTACCTAAAGCCATATACCGTACCGAACTGAACTGTAACAAAACGGCCGCAAAAAGGCGATATAACGATATTCATTTATATTCATTCATTGTTAAAAGTGATTATGAAAAAATAGCGAGTGCAACTGAAAGGCGGGCGGTTCTATTCTTCTCACTTATCAAAATTGTATCAGCAACTAGTGAACATGGATGTGACATTATTGATATTTGCCACTTCGGTCATCGTTGCCCTGATTGTTATATGCACTGTCCTTCTGCGACACAGAACCGGTATGCTGCTGTTTCACGACAGCCTTCTTTTCATCAGTCGAATACGATATTGGGTGTATATTGATTTACGTATCATATACATGTTGTTTCGCACCCATTGCTCCTTTTTCTTATAACCTATAAACTTATTTTCAAAATAGCTGTACATAGCATATACTTCTTTTGCTTTTCAAGTTGATATCTGCGTTCACCGTGGATTCGTTTTCAGCTTATTTCTCTCCCTCAAGGGGAGAACTGAAATGTTCACGAAACGCCGAATATGAATCCATGTTGTACGTGAATCCACCAACTCGGAAACCGATTCAAATATTACATTGCGTGAACCATGATATCACTTGCTTCGAATGGCAGTTGAACGTAATTCACTGCCAGTTTCGTTTGAATTGAATATTTTTTATGCCAATGACTTGTATTGCTTACAATTTTAAGTGACAAATTTTCCAAAGTAACATCGTTTCTGCGAACAATCGTTATGCGTTCCTACATACATACACAAGCAAAGAAAAACAAATTTATATTTTGTTATTTAGGTGCTCGAAGGAAGCAAACTGATATTCAAGATACTGCGGCGCTGGGTCAACCGGTAAGAAGAGCAGCCGGTGTTAGAAATGCTAGGCATCGTATGCAAGGAAACATTAATCGTCAACAACATGATGAGGACAATCGAATAGTTGACGAAGATAATGACAATACAGATGACAAAACAGAATTACCGGATTATAAGATAGGGGCGAAGAAGCGAGCCAAGTTGGCAGCCAAAGCGGAGAAGAAATTGCAGAGAGAAGCGGCAGAACGAGACAGGGAGGAACGTAAGAAGCGAGAACAGCTTGTTCGAGAGGAGAAGGATAAACAGGCTGAGAAAGAACTTGCGGAGAGATTACGAATGGAGGAGGAAGAAAGAAAAGCCAGAGAGGAGAAGGAGAAAAGAGAGTACGAAGAATATTTGAGAATAAAAGAAGCATTCAGCGTAGAAGAGGAAGGTTATCATGAGGAAAACAAGGAAGACAAGGAGAACTTGTTGCAAAAATTTATCCAATATATAAAACAGAATAAGGTATTGATCTTGGAGGATTTAGCTGCACATTTTGGCCTCAAGACATCTAATGTAATAGAGAGAATTCAAGAATTGCGAGCTTGTGATAGGTTAACTGGAGTAATTGATGACAGAGGAAAATTTATTTATATTTCAGAGAATGAACTCCAGACGGTTGTTAAATTTGTGCAACAGCGTGGTAGGGTCAGTATTGCTGAATTAGTTGAGAATTCGAATAATTTAATTAGTTTAGCGCCTGTAAAAAGTTGAGGCATTTCTGCTAGCTAAGTAATCAGATTGATAATAATTATAAAGTTTCTACATGTATACATATCGATTACAATGCTGTTGAATGATGTGAATATAATTAAAATTTGCTACGAGAAAATCTGTATCTCTTTTTATTAACATAAATTTATGATAATTTTCATATGAAAGGACATAATGTGTATGAATATATATATATATATATATATATATATATATATATATATACACACAGGGTGTTTCCGGATTAAATAGCCAAACTTAAAATATGAATTTGGGATCTCAAAACAACAAATATTTATCTGGAAGTTTGCTCGCAAATACTTCCTTGAAGAGATATTGAAGTTTTGAACTATAGGAGTGAATAATATCGAAATAATTTGATTTATCCTCTTTATTGCTTCACAGTAATTAACGTAATTTCAACATAATAATCACAATTTAACGTAATTATTAAATATTTTATTCAAAATGATGACTTCCAGTGCAGAGATATCTATCAATCAAGCATCTATCAATAATAGAAAGAGTGGCTGACTGATATTGTGCAA